CCCACACTACTTCCAGGCTGTGTATCTCATTTCGGCAACTCCTATGTCTCCACTCACGATGGGCATCACTGTCCCACGCAACAGTAAGCAGTCATCCATAACTCACAGCGAGACTTTCACAGAGCCGATCACACTACCCCCCATGTGCAGACCTCAGTTCGGGCGGTTTGATATCAACGTGGGTGCAGTGACACCGGGCATTCAGCCTCGGTCCCCACACATCGAACAGGCAAGCCTCCACTTGTACACAAACGAGACTCCACCGTCCCTGTTATGACCCGAAATGAAGGTAGGACAGGAAGAGAGCCGGTTCGGAGGACAAGCGCTTTATTGGCAACTTGTGGACAGGAGGGGTTACAACTCGTAAGAAAGGTGTGCTATTTATATTGCCTCCTGTGCATTCTGGAACATTCCGTCCAATGACGTGCCAGCCGTTGAGGGCGTTCTGGAATGTTCCTGCCCCGGGCGTGCTGGTCGCTGATTGGCCACCGCGCGCGCGATAGTTCCCCCGCGGAAACGTCTGGAATGTTCGACCAGCCATTGATTGGGCCGCACACGTGAGCAATGCCACCACGCGTGCTCGGCGCTGCAGTGCACGCCGGTCGGCCGTCTAACTTCACGCGTGTCTCATGTCGCCGGCTTGGTCCCCTGCTTAGCGCCTTAGGCCGTGGCTCTACGCCGTTTTCACTCTCCATAACAGTCCCCCTATCTCTACCCTATGAGAGCTGCAGTTAAGACCGTAGCCATCGCGGTCTCATAGCCCCCTCCCCCAGATCAGGCCAGTGGAAAGGGCAGATCTGTCATCTGGCGACATTTCCCCCGCAGCATCTAATGCAACATGTCGAAAGTCGGTATTGTACTAGCCTCACTTCCCCTTCCCTCGATGGTAGAAAGTCAGATGCAAGCCACCTCCTCGCGATTTTCGTCGCAGTGGCCGACCTGGTATAACATTTGCCGTTCACCGGACGTCACACCCAACTTTAGCTCTCATCTAGACCAGCAGAACGCTCAAGGCCACTTTGGGGACCCAGACCATGTAGTAGATGGATCCTCGACGAAAACCGTGCAAACGCACAAGGGAGAAAAAAACAAATTTCCCAAATGAGCCTCCTATTCCTCACTCTGCTCTTCAACGTCCTACCTTTAAGGCATTTGTGGAAGACTGATGACACAGTCGGCATACTGACAGAGGCAGTGCTTTAATTGAGAATGTTCACTTCAATCAGGAACGGGCGCACACCGATCTATTGGCGATCTATTGGTTTCTGGTCTCAGCTGCTGGTGGTCAGGGTTATGATTGGCTGAATGAAGGCAGAATAAGCCCGAAACAGTGCTGTATCAATCTACCCGCATTCTCTGTCGTCCCTCCTCGCTGCTATTATGACTTGGCCGACTTCGGCCTGGTAATTGGTTGCCTGTTCGTGACCTTTGCCACACATACGGAGCTTGTTTGCTTTGTGAAGCCAATAGATCGGTGTGCGCCCGTTCCTGATTGATATATACCCGATCTGCAGCGACAGAGAATGACAGGTGGCGAGGCACTGATGAACTTCGGTTCGATGAAGTGCTTATGACCCATCTGGTAGGCCTCAGTGGAGGGCCGACTGCGCCAGGTGCGTCTGTGCGCATGTTTGTGTTTCTGGTCTCAGCTGCTGGTGGTCAGGGTTATGATTGGCTGAATGAAGGCAGAATAAGCCCGAAACAGTGCTGTATCAATCTACCCGCATTCTCTGTCGTCCCTCCTCGCTGCTATAATGTTCACTTCGCCGGTTCTTACTCAAGATCTGTCCGTCGATCTTCAAGGTCAACATTTTGCAGGCATGTATCACATTTCCACAAAAGTCAGAAGGCGAAAGACAGAGGCGCCAAGAAGCAGGTAGAACACTTGGCGACGGGGGGGGGGAGGGATAGGGAAAACGCAAATCACAGCGGAGCGTATGACATATCTGTTTGCAAATTTATAAAAAGGTTAGGTGTGCGGGGGGAGGGTGGGGGCGGAGGGTTACTTTCAAACACGCAAAGCAGCGTCGGCCTCCTGTAGGTCAACCAGAGGCAGGTCTCCACGGCCAGATGACTCAGAGGCCTCAGGCGACAGTTCCCGCTTCACCACGTAGATTGCGTCACCCACGCAGGTCATGAGGTAGGCGTGACCCGAGGAGATTACTGTGAAGAAAAACAAACAGAACGGAAGAAGGGAGATCAATCAGACTGGTGGCCTAACAGCTGAGGAGTCGGGATGGGAGGAAGGCGTCTTGCCGGAGTCTACTCCCAAATATCAGGCTTCCCGCACGCCCTCTAAACGGGCCACGTGTTAGATGCGCTGGACCAACACGGGGGCCACATCGGACTCTGGCAGGCGTTATCTGTGCGCAATAACAAATGCCAACACTTGCGGGGTGCGCTGGCGGACCCTGTTGTCGGCACTCGTCGCTCAACTGGACCACTGCCAGCACCCCATTGTTTTGTGGTCAAAATCCTGGTCATTTGTGTGTAGACCAGGGGGTGCGGAGTGGAGCGCCAAGGCGAGGATCCGTCCGAGCCATCCACCTGCGGTCTCCTCCGTCTCCGGTCTTCTTGACTTGGTCTTGACACCGGGCTCAGGCGGGGGAGGAGAGAGTGTAGGTAGATGCTACGCAAGTCTACAGGCACTATAAACCCCTGCGTAAGTCACCGTCCCTGCTCCCACAATGCAGTCTGTGGGGCACACGGTGGACATCGTCGAAATCGACGGTCGAACTGTCGTCATCAGGCTTCCCGGGAGAACGGGCCTGCCATCACAAACCAACCAGTCAGTGCTGGTGGGGGGCAGGTGGGAGGAGTGGATAACAGACTGACCGTACACACGCCTGATCAAAAAAGGGGACACCGATCGATTGTTGGATGACAGTCATACAACCCCAAGGTAAGTTAGTCAGAACATTTGAAAATACAGTACACGCTGAAAAGGCTTCAACCTTGGTCAAAATCGAAGAAACCGGTTCAGCCAAAAAATCAAGCATTTCCGTAAACCGACCTCATTAGTAAAAAAAACCGCCAGACAACCGCAAGTCTTTGCAGGAGAATCAAAGGTCTGGATAGGAATAAACGAGTAAAGACCAGTTCCAGGTGCGCTCTGGTTCACCTGTCAAGCGCGGACGGCCGGGTGTCTGTTCAGTAGGCATTTGAGTGGTAGGGGGACGTTCATCGATCGTTCTTACGGAACACACTCGTCCCGTTGTGCCTTACGAGCTCTCCCTCTTGAGTGCAACCAGCAGCCGCACAGAGGCGCATGATATAACCAAATAGTATTACTGACAAGGACAAGAGAAACTAGAATGGCCAATTTATGCTTACTAGCCGTCGTCAGGCAATCATACCCAACCCCGAAGTGTGGCACACCCGAGGCTCGAACTCGCGACCTGTTTGTTAGAAGTCCACGCCTCTAACCACTAACGGGCACATTAATGCCCGTGATTTTCCCAAACTGGAGTCCACTCAACGTGGAATGGGGAGAGGGGAGGGGGAAAGAAGGACGAGATCCGCCAGACACTGACTGCAGGTGATGGGAGACTGTCTGCCTTGGGTGAACGTATCCCTGAATTCGCGTAACTTAGTGGCGAATTATTCTGCTAAGACGATGACCGACCGGTTAGACGGCGACTGTCGCCCGCTATTTAATACAATACCGGAACCTGAGACGTGTTACCGGTGAAGAGTATCCAGAAGCTACATATAACCTTCGTCTTTCAAGCCACGATTCAGTTGCTTTTGAGAACGACTGCACAGCTATGGGCCGCGTGCTCTGGATAAACTTGGCATCAAGAGCAATTTTCCTCTCAGTAATAACAGTAACAGCGATTTGGAGTACTGCCGCGTGAAGAGGTGGTCTTCCGTCAACAGTAATACAAAGGAAGGCAGACGATCAAACCGACTCGACAGAATCAACACAAGTGGACATTGAATTTAGTAATCCTATTTGTGCTATGATGATGATGATGATGATCATCATCATCATCATCATCATCATCACGAGCAAGGGTCGATGGTACTCCGTAGGGCTGTAGTGGCAGGCAGTCCGAGGATACTGTGAAAAAGCAGAGGCACTCTGGAATAACAGTTTTCTCGTGAATAACCCGACTGTCGAAAGCGGCCCATCCCCAGCGGAAGCGAAGCCAAATTCGCGCGCTATGGGTAGAGAGGCTATGGGTGAAGTGACGATTGACGTTCGCTTGATAGATGGTGAAATTTAACTTTGTTCTGAAGTCTTTCCACGAAATGCGGATTTGCAGCTCCATCGAAGAAAAACAGACATTAAGAATATAGGCGTTGATGCTGGTACTACGTGGGTCAGGATTAAAGGTTACGACACAGTAATAGGAAGCCTCCCTGGAACTGGACGTAGAGCCACTCGTAGTACTGGGGGGAGGGGGGGTCCGACTTCCTGCATACGACCGGATTACCGTAGAGAAATAATCTCAAGGTATATCGGTCACGCTAGAATATCGTCCTTTGAATGAGCTTCTTTGCAGTTGCCCGTAAAAACTACCAATTAAGTAGTATGCATTTTTCTCGGCGGTTCCACGCGTACATAAATTAGAATGTATTTTACAGGAGACAAGCCCAAAAATATTCTTCAGTAGCAAATGACTTCTCAAAGGTTTATATTTGAAAGAAGGACATCGTTTGAATTTAAAAAAAGTCCTCTGATTTGAAAATAATTTTGAGCCCGACCTACAGTTGTATCTGTGCTTCAAGCTTCCACATTAAAGGTTTCCATGCGGAGAAAATCACACATTCTTCTATGTTATTAAGAAGACTAATGCAGGGCTCGTAAAAGTTTGCAATAGATGTGGAACAGTTTACATACTTCATAAGAAGCATTAATAAACGGAGAGATACGACGCTGTATGAACTAACAGTCTTTAGAAAATCGCGTAATTAGACTTTTCAACTGAAAGGCGCCATTTACGGGGTGTGCGAATCGAAGAAAATGTGATTTGCTACCAAATGAATGCCAGGAAGAATATTTTACAAAGAAGTACATTCAAAGACCGGCGTCCGGGCATGACTAAATCAAGTTTAGGCTGTGTTGCACGGCAAACAATATCACTACTCCATCCTACAGTCAGTGACTGATCACATGAAATGCTAACAGTGTTTTTATTAGAAAGGTTAGCTTATAGTGGATGTACTAACTCAATAAATGTTAGCCAAAATAGTTAAATGCGTTTTCGACCCGAAAAGATCACTTAAGCAAGGCTGTAATACTAGTCCCCGTGCAACATAATCAAAAAATACTTAAGTGGAGTTGTAATATTAATTACCATGCAGCATAATCCTATAATAGCTCAGTTAATTCAGAATGCTAGTTTTTGAACTTTTTTTCGGTCGCCTGCAGAAACTGTACTCTGTAAAAACGACCATTTATGTAGTGGGAATTCTTTTCATTGATTTTTGATGTCCCTATAAATACAAGTATATTCCATAAAAAACATGCATAAAAGTAATCATTCTTTTGCTCATTCGGTAGAAAATTATGCTTTTTTAGAGTTTGTGCCTCAGGCAACGGTTTAATTCGGTTTTAAAAACTTTCCTATTCCCGAATAATTCTCAGCCCGACCTGCCCTTACATTTGCATCTAGGGCTTTCAAACTACACGTTGTATATTTCCCGTGCATGGAAAATCATACATTTCTATACGTTATTAAGAACAGACCATTAAGAGCCATATTGTAAACTTTCCGGGCAGCATTATTAAATGCAGAAACAAGGTTTTGTGAACTGGAAGTTCATGGTTTCAGAAAATCTCATTATTAGAAACTTTCTTAACACCAGATTATAGATTATTATTTGAAGACGTAATTTTATTGTTGAGGAATAAAAGGCTGAATACTTTACGCTCGTTTCCTACGAGATATATTTTAATTTATATGGGCATAGAAAATCAATGAAAAAAATTAATGCTACTTGAGTAGCCATTTATTTGCCAGATATCGTTTTCACAGGTAGCTGGAAAGACGTTCATTTCAAAACCGTCATCCTGGGAGTAACTGAATTATTATGGGATTAGGCTGCAGGGTGAATGATAATACAACCTTACTTAGGTAATCTTTTCGAGCTGAAAACGCGTTTCCCGAGTTAGCACATTTACTGTAAGTTGGGTTGAAATATTGACTATCAAGCAGCATACGCCCAAGACATTTCAGACAGACCAGAATGCCTGAAAAATTGCACTCCATTGCAAAGTACTACCTACGTAGTATGAATTACCCTACCGACTTTCAATACCCCCAAGAATGCAAATGTAATTTATGAAAAAAGGGCTTCCTTCCTGCACTCATTTGGTGGAAAATCATTTTTCCAGAGTATATACGCGAAGAAAAGCCATCTTTCTCCAATTCTCCAACAATTGGAAACCCAGCTTGCAGTTCCATTTGCCCTTGGGGTTTAAAAACCCCGTTCTGCGTACTTTCCGCACAGGAGAATGTCATAGAGGGGTCATGGAATTTTGCAGTGGATGCGGACCGTGCTGTATAGTTCGCAAGCATTATTAGCAAGCGTATTGATTCGATGTTGTGTGAGTGGACATTTCATGGTCGTAAAAAAAATTTATAACTGGAAGTTTTTCCAAGACCGAAAAACACCCTTACTTCGGGCACGCAAGTCGAAGAGGTGATGTGGTACCAGTTGAGCGCAAGAAGGAGCACCTTTGTGCACTTTTTATATAAAATATTTGTAAACTCAAAAGGGCATCAAACTCAAATAGAAAGAAGGACCTATTATTAAAGTAGTCATTGTTACCGAATGTGGTTTTTGCGCGAGGCTGAACAGAAGTGTAGGAGAAGAAAAACATCTCGGCGAGTCTAGAATACCACGGGATTATACCGCGCACTAAACAACATCACAACCCCATATAAGTAATCCCTTCTAATCGAAAACACAGCTTAGAACTTCGGTTAACGTTAAATGAGATAGGCCAGTCAATGTATTTTTTCTGGTCTAGCACCTAAAAGGATCCGGCTGTTTAGAAATACTTGACATCAGGTAGTTCTCGACCGCCGTGTGTTCCTAATTTCCCATAAAAAATTAGGCAGGTTTGATAGTGAGACAAAGTAGCGGAAGGAGGGGAGGAGAGGGGAGAGAGGAAAGAGACAAACAAAGGAGATAGTCAAAAAGGATAACGAAAACAGCTAGGAAGAAAATGAGGAAATTTCGTGGACGGGCGCAGAAAATAGTCGAGAAAAAGGGACATAACAATGCGGCAAAAAGGGAGGAGAACAGAATATAGGACTGTAAGGAGGGGTTAGGTGGTAAACAAAGAGAAGGAAAAAGGCAGGAACGTTCAGGTAAGGTGCGGAAGCGCTAAATTAAAACATAATAATAAGACGTACTGGAGAGACGTTTAAAACCATCCGCTCTGTTGGACTGGAGAGCAAAGAAATGGCCGACTCGATTAGCCAGCGCAGCAAACTTGCTGCCCAACTCCTCAGTGTTGATGAGTTCGCCAGCTGACTGGAGAACAGCACCGTCCGGACTGAGTACGAGGGTGCCCCGCCAACCGGGAATCTTACTCAGGGTCGAGAGCAAGGCGGCAGAAGAGGAGGAAGCGGTGGAGGCGGCGGCGGCGGCGGCGGCGCCAAAAGCACCTGAGGCAGGAGCGTAGGCTCCCATCGCCGCAGCCTGGGTACCCCCTGTCGGTCGCTGCAACGACGGCGCGCCCGGCAATCCCTTCTAAAATAAAAAAAAGACAGAGGGTCCAGTTTGTTGACGCAGTGCGTCATGTATGAGTGTTGAGCCTTGTGACACAAACGAACACAGGACAAAAACTGCGACATAACGTGTGACTGGATCACAGCAGGTTTGCTAGGTAAACGACTGCGGAGAGCGCGACGTCCAAAACAGATTAGCCTCACTATAAATTTCCAGGATAAATGACCCGTAACAGCATGGCAAAGGCGAAAAACGCACCTTCAGCCTTACCACTGCCATCAGCAGCCATAACACGTGTGGGGTATTAGTAAGAAAAAGCTGGTGGAATGGTAGGGCCGGTTGAAGAGGCCTCTGCTCTGCACTCATCTGGTGTCAGTATCTTCTCTTCCGCCTATAATCATTACTTGCAACTTACTAATGCGGCTGCGATCATGCCTGCTCTAGGTCTGTATCTGTCCACGGGTTATGGTCTGCGTTAGTAAAACTAGAGAGATCGACCTGCGCTTTCACCCAGTGAGAGTCCATGAATGGTCTTCATACCTTGACGTCTCTACAGATCAAAGTCCCCAGTTCATCTTTTAGCCCCCTATAACTAGGCGGTGGCGTCAAATTCAGAACAGACGCATTCGACGTGCATTCTTGTGGTGAACGCCTTAGTGCAGACGCTGTCTTACATCTCCAGTTTTCGTTCGTCTGTTATCACGAGGAAAAGCCGCACAGGGCGACTGACCAGATCATTGCCCGACACAGTAGGGCTGTTGAGGTGATAGAGATATCGCCACGCTCTACAGCTTGTAAAGACGCTGCGAGTTGCATCGATTTGGGCGATAGTGTCATCCTTCGTCTGCTTCGAAGTAGCTTGGCCGCACACTTGGCTGCACACTTCTTCAAGTCGGCGGCCATTAAAGCCTCGGCCACCACAATCTAACTCTAGTACGGCAATATTGCTAGCGTAGGGGTTAGTAAGCCGTCATCCTGGAGCTGAGACGTCCTGAGAATACAGCCGACAGCGTGGGGAAGGTGAAATGGTAAAACCCTTAGGCACTATAAGGACAGCCAAACTGCTCGATGATTACGACCCCAGGTGATGGTGCATGGACGGCAGCCATCGATTAGAGAGATACCCCATCTCTCTCCGCAGATCATTTAATTTTACTGCCTGCTGCGACAGCCCACGAAGTACTCGAACATCCCAACGAGGTCGACAAGAAGGCTAACGCGCGCTGTCAAGAGTCAAAACAGAGTTCGAAAAGGCGTTGCAGTCCAAATAATTGACCGATATTTATACATTCGGTCTGATGCTTGGCCTTGGTTGGTGCCGCTTCCGATTCATGATTATTTTGAGAACTTCCGGTGAAGCGGGGGGGCGAAGGCAAATATGTTGGCGAAAAGTGTCGATGGAATTTGTGCGCGATAGTACTCGCACTTTATCTTAGCATCATTCCTGAAGATAGGTTTTAGGATGGAGGAATGCCAGTCATCCAAAGCGATCTTATCTAACATGTTAGTTCAGTCACCCACGAAAGGCATCACTCAAAGTTTATAAGTAATGACTGACGTTCCCACGTTACGCTTGAGGAGCCAAGCTGACAAACAATCGGACGAAATCATGGTCTCCTTCGATCTGGCGTCGTTATTCATATCCATCCCACCAAACTTGGCCTGCGAAGTCTTGCGCAAGAGACTTGACGAGGCGTACGATGAGACTCAGAATGCCCTCAAAATTGAACACCTCATGAGGCTGTTTGAATTCAGCCAACGATCTTCCTTCACTTTTGCGATAGAAACCTATGAGCAAGTCAAAGGAACCCCAATGGGCTCACCGGTCTCCGGTTTATTGGCAGAAGTGGTCCTACAGGAGTTAGAAAAGATGGCCTTCACCCAACATGAACCGGTGTTTTGGCGCCGTTACGTTGACGACACGTTCTTCATCGTAAAGAAGGACATGCTGCAACATTTCCACAGCCCGTTCAACGCAGTCTTCCCCGATATAAAATTCGCAAGGGAAGAAGAACAGGAGCAGCAGCTGCCCTTCCTGGATGTGCTTGTCAGACGAAACATTATCGGCGGACGTAAAACGTTGGTTTATTGGAAGGCAACGAACACCACACAGCTTCTCAGTTTTCACAGCAACCATCCGGTGGCTCACAAACGAAGCTGTGTGAAGACGCTCTTCAAAAGGATCCAAAGTCATTGCAGCAAGCTGGAGGACAGAGCACGTGAGGCCCACTATCTCCGCGACCAGTTTGTGCAAAATGGCTATCCGAGGGCATTCATACGTCGCTGCCTACGCGGTCACCACCAGAGAACTCGAACATCAACGCCACCGACGATATGGCATTCTCTGCCATACATGAAGGGTGTTTCAGAAGCGACTGAGCGCATTGCTGCGGAGCTAGGCGTTGGAAATGCACACCGCCCCAAAGCCACCATGCGCAATAGGGTCATGAAAATCAAAGACCGGTTAAAACCTGATGAGCAATCTGGAGTAATTCATCGCATTCCGTGTCAAAATTGTCCTTGTAATTACACAGGACAGATTGGGCGCATGCTCGTATCGCACAGACACAAATATAAGCTGGCTGTGCGACGAGGCGACGCATTATCACAAGTGGCCGCTCACACCTACGAAATGGGTCACGAGTTTGACTTCGCAGCCACTAAAAAGTCGCCCACACCGGAAACAAAACAGGCCGAGAATTGATTGAAGCCTGGGCCTCGGATGAGAACTCGGTCAATCGATTTATCGATCTGGCGCCGGCGTACTGAGCCCTGCGTAGTCACCTCCAGTCTTGCGCCGTCGGTCGATGATTGGCCTGCATGCCTTATAACTGTCGCTTGTTCTGCTGCTGCCGCTACCTCTGACGATGGACTGCCGTACGCGTCTGAAAGCTCAGGACAATAAACACAGTGTTCCGGTGTTCGACTCTTTTTCTTCACTTATGCATACACTTGGATCTCGAAATTTCGCCTTCATTCGTGACAAACATATGTTTTCAGTAGTTCATAATCAGGCCAATACAACTTCATTGAGAACGAAAATGGGTTCATCAAAGTCTTGGAGGGTCAGTCACACTCGTTTCCGCGAGGCCCACACGACGTGGTCGGTGTCTTGTGGCTATTAGGGTTGCGTAGGATGGAGGGAAGGTATAGTTTGTGCGGTCTTTAAGTCAAACACGTGGAATGCGCATGACAGTCAGTAAGGGGTTAGTGCAGCGTGCAGTCACTACCTGGACAGTGGCTGCTCTGGCGACAATACAATATTAACTAGGCACGCATTTAGAGCCTCAGCTAACACTATCGAAGTTAGGCGATTGTAGGTAATACATGAGTATGCGGCTAAACTGGGTGTATTGTGTAGTCAGGGAAGACTGGCAGCTCGGTTGGCTACGTAAAATGTTCAGCTGCACAAGGTGGTCATTCCCTTCTGACCGCACCTATTACTCGCGAATCTATAAAGACGTGTTCAGTACAGTCGCCAGATCATGACAACTGCCTAACCTGACCGGATAACGCAAGTCAAATTATCCTGAGTATCTCCGCGCCTGGAGAACTGCGTGTGTCGTAGGTAGGTAGGTAGGTAAGATGTGCTTGTCGATGTTCGATGACGTCTACTTTCCAAACAAGAGAAACGCAACAGGTCAATTGTCTAGCGAGAATTATGATTCAGCCGCAGTTATCAGGAGCGGCGAAATGCTGGGCTTACATTCACTATCAGAAAGCTGCTCGTATCCCCTCCCCTCCTTACTGCTTATGCAAAGCGAGAGATCGCAGAATTACCACCTCCCGTAGATAATATGCATTGCCGACAGAAGCGAACAGCGATCGCATCTTTTTCTTCTATAACATGTGCCGTTACCGCCAATATGATAACTCTAAATAGATTAATCGACAGCAAAACTTGCCGACTAAATGTGAGAGAGGTGTCAATGAGATTATCATCCTTGCACATTGTTAATAAAGCTATTTACTAAGTAGGAATAGAATACATTTCAATAACCATCTGTCACGGCAGTGGTAAAATATGATTAATCTCTCACCCATATAAGCATTTAAAGGAGTGTTTACATAGGTCGTGCAAAAGGCAGCAAATATGAAATTGTACAGCGATTTTCCCAGCTGTCGGCAAAGTAACCCATCGAATAAACACAGTGATATAAATGACTAGTTTTAAGAGAGACATCTGCCGTGAGTCGGACCTGCCAAGGGTAGTCATGTTATTTTTAAGGCCCTGGTGACGCAGTGCGTTAACATACAGAACAAATGCACATTCTAAAGATATAAAGAAACAGAGGGATATATCGGAACGCCTGTCGACGTGGGAACTGGATAGCAACAAGCATAAAAATGTTAATAGCTTCAGGTGTGAGAAAATGTAGAAAATGTGAGCATTAACGGCGTGAAGGTGGCACGAAAGACGGTCGACAAATAGACTTAAATACGTGTAAACATCAGAGAAGCAAAACCCAGAGATAGACTAGATATTTTGTAAAAAACCAGTAACTAGCTTTAGCATGGTAAAGTAGACGCAAGTGTAAAAATGCCAATAAGATGGAGAACGAGGCACGAAAAAGGGGAAGTATATATTTTGAAACGGGACTAAAAAAACAAAGTGTGTCTTTTGAGTGCGGCGATTGTATCAACGTAACAATTGAAAAACCACAAGCATAAACATCAAAGACCTTAAAAAAACGTTTGAAAAAGTGCACCACTTTGTATAGGAATTCGTAAATTTATTGAAGTGTTTTACTCCATAAACACGCCAGTGAAAGTACAAGCATCGGCAACTCAGCAAAGATTTTCTATCAAAAACTCGCTGCCGGCGATAATTCCAATCGAATGAGCAAGGGATACTAGTGTCGAGGTAAGAACAGCAAACACACACCCGCACCCTACTTTTTGGATAGTTGATTCGGCAACACAGGCAGTCCTTTGTCAATCTGCTCAGGCGCCTTCGGTGGTGTGAGAGCCAATGCCTAGCGAATAACTTGGTGCTGTGTCAAAAAGGCCATTTTGCCACTCCAGCCTTAAACAGAACACGCCACTTTAAAAAGGACTTGCGAAACGTACACAGACAGCAGTGAACTACTTGTGCATCCAACCGTTTTCTGACAGTCACTCTTATTTATAAAGGCATTCGACACCTTCCCGAATCCCAGGTTTGGTTAATATCTTCATCTGTGAATAAGCATAAACAAACTACGCACATTCTTCCAGAATGCAACAGCCGTAAAGCGATTCAACCATCTGATTCAGAGGGGCACAATGACGCATCGTTCGGAAGTCAAC